GCGGTAGGGGGCGGCGCTGATGCAGCAGCGGCCGGGCCGGGGCCCGCAGGCCGAGGCGCAGCTGAAGGCCCGGCCTCCACAGAATCCTGATCCACAGGTCATGGTTGTACTGGAGATTTGAGTTGCAGAGAACAGAATGGGAACGCTGGAGTCTGGATGAGAACTCCTGTGTGCTCCTCAGGGAGCTGCAGTCCTATTTATGCTCAGACTGAGCAGGGGGTTGGCTATGCAGATGGAGTTGGGGCAATTTGTAGTTTATGGGCTTGGGCGGGCAGCCTGGTCCAATGCCCGGCTAGAATGTGCTTTAATGGTGGAGTGGCCCGCACCCTCCTCTGTGTATGGGATGCCAACCCCTGGCTGAAGGGGGACTCAGCATATTTCATCTTCAAAGTGCCTCCTCAGCAGGTATGGGCTCATTTGAGGATATTGGGGCGAAAAGGGCCTGCTGGGGAGGGGAGGGGAGAAGGAGGCCGGAGAACGGGAGGAGAAAAGGCAGGTGCTGAGTGGCAGGAAGGCGGAGGGGACCTGTTTGGGCATAAGGAGGTGAGAAGGGGGGAGCCAGAGAAGTCTGGTTATTGACAGTGACATCGGAAGCTTCCATTCTAGAGAAAGCCAAGGTGCTCTGGTCACACACACTGTGTCTTCGTCACCCCCAGTTTGCCCAGAGGTTGCTGAAAGCCCTGCAGTTTTATCTATCCATCACAGCTATTTGAGTTATATGCCTTTTTTCCACTTTTGTTATGAGACTTTTCAAACTAATGGGAAAGTTGACAGAGTTGCGTAAGAAACAGCTGGAGAGGGCCGTCTAGGATCTCAGGTCCGCCTTGGTGCTTACACTGAGCAGAGGTCGCTGTAACACTTCCCATTTATTTGGCATCACAGGAAGTTTGCCCTGCAATCCTTAAATACTTCAGTGCACATTTCTTAAGAGTAAGGACAGGGCTGTTTCCACATGCAAGATAATTAACATTATTACAAAGAATCATTTATATCCATTCCCTCTTGTCCCTAAAATTGAAACAACAACAAAAAGAAAGGTCTTACATGATTTGAATGGTTGCTGTATACCTTGTATTTTTTATTT